GCATGTCTGGGCGGGCGCCTCACCATCATCAGTACTTAGGTGGACAGCCAGTACTTCTGCTGGGTGACCCTAGCGTCCCTCCCCCAGGAGGGACCTTACTCTTTTCCTACCTGTAGGACAGAGCAGAAGTGATCCTTGAGGGTTTCTGAGGCTAGAGAGCTTCAAAGGAGCAGAGTCTCACCTTTCTCCTACAGAGCAGCTGGTGGGTCTGAACCTCCTACCTTGCTGTTAGCAACCCAGTATTCAACCCGCTGTGCCACCAGAGATCCTTTGTCGCGGCATTGCTCATCGCTGGAGGTATCACATTGAAAACCAAGGTGTTCCTGGTCTCCAGAGAAAGCAAAGCCAGGATGAAATATTACGCCAGTAATCTTTGTTAGCCTAACTTTTATTTCCTAAGCTCAGTCACCCATTCAGCAGAGTAGGCACTCACTTGGTGCTCAGCAAGATTTAAATCATTCATTTGTAAAAACTGAAACATGAGCTGATACCAAGGGCTCAAGTAGAAAGACAATGTTTTGAAAATGATGATGGTGCCACATGTCCAAATGTACTTGACACAATGGATGTATGAATGGATTGTGATAAGAGCTTTGAGCCCCCGATAAGATGATTACAAAAATAATAAGAAAGCGCATTGCCCTCACTTCCCTAGACAGCCCAAGGCTGGGCAGCCGAGCCTTTAGGATATGCGTACGGGTGCCCTTGATGGAATTTGGATGCTAAGGTCCACAGAATCACAAGCAATATCCTGACGGCCTTGGTCCGAGGACCCTGACCCAAATGTGTCAGTTTTCCTTTGTGCTGCTGCCCATTTCCCAATCATGGTCCCTTTCCAGCTCCTGTGTCCTGGCTGCCACTGTGGAAGAACGGCTGCCATCACTCACGCTTCCGCGGCAGCTGTCCTGGTACTCCATCCATGTCTACTTAAGTGACCGTGTTTCTGTAAGTCCTTGGGTGCCACTGTGACCTCCTGCTGACGCTTCCCCTCATCCAGCTGTGCCTTTGTGCTGTTTAAGACTTAATAAATGTATCTCCATAAATTAAAAACTAAGGAAGTGAACAAATGCACTGAAAGGATCGCTTCATAGTATGATGTGGACCGATGGAGGTTCCTTTAGGTAAAGTGAGCTAAGTTCTCTTTAAAGTGATAGTTGGGGTTGTGGAGGGCTGTGGGGGACGATGGGAGCCCAAAACCCATCTTCAGTGTATCTGGCCAGACTGAGCCACTGGCAGACCTGCTCCAGGCACAGACAGGAATCTAGAACAGCCCTTCTATCAGGCAGAGACTATTTTATTTGGTTATGCTGCATCGAACTCCACACTTGGCCAGTTGACCTCCCTATTCAACGGTTCTCAACCTTCCTACTGCCGCCACCCTTTAATACAGTTCCTCTTGTTGTGGTGACCCCCAACCATAAAATTATTTTCACTGCTACTTCATATCTGTCATTTTGCCACTGTTATGAATCGGGCGGCCCCTGTGAAAGGGTCATTCGACCCCCAAAGGGGTCTCAACCCACAGGTTGAGAACTGCTGCTATAGATGTTACCTGAATTTGTTCTGGGGGTTCCATGACAGAAATTTCTTCCCTGGCTTTCTGAATGTTGCTGAGGGTCTTTTGCTTCTTATGCATTATTTGTAGTTTTGTCTTTGTACTATTATGATTTTATCTTTGCCACCTGAGTGGGACTTTGTTTTTTATTGTTTTCTGTTGGGTCTCCCAGCTTTGAGGCACAGGAGGAGTGGATGCATAATGAGAATGACTGATATGAGGGGGGTAGGGAATACTGGGGTGGGGATGGGTGACAGGGAGGGAAGGGGGATTTGGGGAGTAAATAATGAAGGCAGGAGGTGGGAGGGAGCACTAAAACAGACTGTGATTGCACAACATTTTAAAGCCGATTTAACTACGGGGGAGGGGGTGGGGGGATGGGCGCGAAGCTCTAAAATTGGTGATGATTGTACAATTCTCTTTTATATGACTGAACAATTGAACTATTGAATTGTATGATATGTAAATTATGTGCCAATAAAACAGCTGGGGGGAA